ATATATCAGTGTTATTACTTGTAATTGTTAAGCTCCAGAGGAAAACACTTGACTCACACATACAGGAATCTATGCCATAATAAGTAAGCCAAGTTATAACTGAATTCTACTTATATATAATCAGGCTTGTCGACCACTGCAGGTCCCATTTATCAACTATCAGCTAAAACACTGCTTCCTTAAAAAGGCCTTTGTTTTTGCCCTGCTCAACCAGGCTATGTTCCCAGTTAATACGCACTCACAGCACTGTTCTCCTCTTTACTACACTTACCACACTGTCATCATTTCCTCATCGTCTAAACCACCATTCCTTGCCCCAAATTGGAATGCAGGTTCCATGAGAGAGCAAAGACCAGATCTGCCTTGTTCACCATTCTATTCCCAGTGCCAATGTTACACAGTAGCTAATCAATCCATCAATCCACCTGTCTACCCATCCACCTGTTCCTCCCTCCCTAGGTAAACAGCCAGGCAAGGCTGCATCACTAGCTTCCAGAACCTCAAATAGCAGTTCCGGTCATTTACTATAAAGTATGGTTAGTTACACTACTCCAAGACACCTCCATCTGTGCAAGTTCCATTCTTTGCATCTAGGAGAGATATTTTTACATCATTTAGTTCATTTATAACATGATGCAAACCCCACAATGTCAGATGTTTTATGTTCTTTCGCATTAATTCAGCCTAGAGGCCAAGATGAATACAGTGGAAATGTACCATACTTCCATTCAATTTACTGGAATTCCTCTATTATCTTCAGCAACGGGACAGAGAGAAAAAGAAACGATTCACATAGAGCAAGAGACTGCATACCTCCACTCGGTAACTACTTGCTTCACCGTGAACACAGGAGATGGTCAGCGGCTGTGCTGTCTCGGTTCTCACCCGCCTCACACACGAGCAATTCACTTCATCTGCATTCAACATCACACGCACCATGCAGCTCCAACATGGAAAAACAATACCTGGCTGTACTGGACCTCCTGAGAGTCCGCTTGTCCAGCTCAGATATGACTCCCTCTCGGAGTGGTTTGAGGGTACTCAATTTTCACCTTACTCACAGCCTTTAGATACAGACCCTACTTAGAGCAATGCTACTATCTACTGGGATGCGCTGCTTTACTTGACCCTGGAGTTTCTTTCCAAGAAGGCACGTTTAGGTAACTGCAGCTCACAGTACCGGAACTGCCACAGCGAAAAAGCCCAAACCTCTGTTTCCCTTTCTGTCCTTTTGGTGAACACATAAATGAGAAGAGTGACCATAAGCACATACAGAATAAAAAATGTTAAAAAGAAGAGTGGGGGAAGGAACAGTGCCTAAGACCTTCCTGTATACAGTGCTAAGTTACCACCATGAATTGTCAGTCACAATCCCCAAGGAGCTCCCAGTCTAGAAAAGAAAAATCTAATCCCCTATCACAATATACAAAACAATAATATGAACTAAGTCTACAAATATCTAGATAATGTAGAAATTCTAACTTTATTGATCAGGTTTTTTTTTTTTTTCATTTTTTAGTTGGAGTCTCACTCTGTCACCAGGCTGGAGTGCAACGGCACAATTCCCGTTCACTGCAACCTCCGTCGCCTGATTTCAAGTGACTCTCCTGCCTCAGCCTTCTGAGTAGGGACTACAGGCACACACCACCAGGCCCAGCTAATTTTTTTGTATTTTTAGTAGAGACGGGGTTTCGCCATGTTGGCCAGGATGGTCTCAATCTCTTGACCTCGTGATCTGCCCACCTCAGCCTCCCAAAGTGCTGGGATTACAGGTGTGAGCCACCGTGCCCCGCCTGTTGATCAGTTTTATATCAATACGTATATGAGGTAATAAGTGAAATGAATAACAGAGAAAAATGATCACTTCCGGATTCTGTAATATTGTCTCCACTATTACGAGAATCTCTCTTCCCAGATCCACTTCAACCCCAAAGAACTCCTCCTAAAAAGCACCAGGCCTTGTGTAGAATGAAATATATTCCCTTTTCTTCTTCACATAACTGATGCAGGTAAATTCTTGTAAGTTAAATGCGCAAAAGAAAGGATTCCACTTCGGTACAGGCTGAGCAGTTGGTGGCCTTCTTTATAAAACTGCAATTAACTATCATCTCAGTTTCTCTTGGTTAGGTGTCAAGAAGGATACAGAGTCACATCCTTTGTTTTTTTAAGAGCAAGAAGTAACCTGAAGCATCTTGCTGAACTGCAACAGAAAAAACAAAGGCTAAAATACTCCAGCACCTCTGCTGCTTCTCCTCCATTCCAACCACGTGATTCTGGTGGTGCTGCCAATCAAGAACCACCAGAATCTGTCTAGCCAGGGGAGCGGAAGAGTAGGCACATCACGTTCTTATGTCCAACTGGCCAATCAAGGTCCTTCTGGAACTGTAAATACTAGAGGTAGGAGTTTGCTCTTTAGTCTGGGGTGCTTAATCTTGGATGACATAACACAGGAGTCATCTGCAGTCACATCTTCTACGCATTTATATACAGTCACATGCTCCGAAAAGACGTTTTGGATCAACGACAGACCACATATACAACCACGGTCCGGTAAAATTACACATAATACAGCTGAAAAATTCCTAGAGCCCAGTGACATCAGAACTGTTGTAACGCAACGCATCAGTCCTGCGTCTGCGGTGGTGCCGGAGTAAGCAAACCTCCCGTACTGCCGGCAGGATAACGCTGCGCACACGCAATTACGCGCGCTACGTGGCACGTGATAGGAAACTGAGTACTGGTTTATGTATTTACTGTCCTATACTTTTTATCATTAGAGTCTATTCATCTACTTATTAAAAAATTAAAAAGCTATAAAACAGCTTCAGGTGGGTCCTTCAGGAGGTATTCCAGAAGGCACTGTTATCATAAGAGATGACAGTTCCATGTCTGTTACTGCCTCTGAGGACGTTCCACTGGGATCTTCCTGGCTCTGTGTAGGCCTAGGCTAATGCCTTCATTCAAGATTCAGTTAAGAATATAACATGTACCAATTGTACAGATGACACCTAAAGCTGTGGATCAAGAGAACGTATCATCTAAACTCTATGAAAGCCATCAACAGATCCAAAGTTAAACATACTTTATTGAGTTCAAAAGATCTTACTTCTCATTCACATACATAACTAACATCTTGTGTCACACTGGTTGAAATGTCAATGGAATAGTGAGATACAGCTAAGAATCACCAACATGTCCCGATATTCTGGAAGACAGAAAACATCCATATGCCAACGGTCCAGATACAAAGGAAATATGTCAAATATAAAGAAAAATCAGCATATTACTGTTAGAGCTCTGTAAAGAATTTTCTCACATATGCCTTTTTGACCATATAAAGCCCAAGAATGCAACGATTTTTTTTTTTCCATTTACCTTTATTGCATATTCTATGGAACAGGCCAGCTATAGCCAGAGAATTCAATATCTACTCTGTGCTTAAATTTAACCATGAACAAAAGCCATGCCTTATACAAACATATGCAGATTATCCAACCACATTTACATTAGCTATACCTCAAACACACACAGGCAGACATAGATATACACAGACAATTAACATGTAATTATCTCCCAAACACGGACATCTGGAACAAGGTTTAGCGCCAGAAGCTAACATCCAGCTTGTTTTGCTTGGGTCTGGGGTTTTTGTTTTGTTTTTTTTTGAGACGGAGTCTTGCTCCGTTGCCCAGGTTGGAGTGCAGTGGCACAATCTCGGCTCACTGCAACCTCCGCCTCCCAGGTTCAAGCGATTCTCCTGCCTCAGCCTCCTGCATAGCTGGGACTACAGTTGCGTGCCACCACACTCGGCTAATTTTTTGTGTTTTTAATAGAGACGGGGTTTCACCGTGTTAGACAGGGTGGTCTCGATTTCCTGACCTCATGATCCACCCGCCTCGACCTCCTAAAGTGCTGGGATTACAGGCATGAGCCACCGTTCAGGGCCAGGTTTTCAGGTTTTTTAGTAGGGGAAAGTAGAGGGTGGATGGTGCAGCAGACAGAGGCCTTCCTATTCATTCTAACAATAATCTAAGAAGTGGAGGGGGCCTGCTTATTTAAAGAAGTCTCCCCAGCTAGCTATTCCTGATAACCCACGGCCATGGAACCTCTCACGGATCCCACCTCCCCCCCACCCTATCCTATGAAGCATACCCATTTTGTACACCGGAACACTCTGAGCAGCTGTTGCCCTCTTTCCTCAGGGGCCACGCACGGAGAACTAGCCAAGGCACAGGAGTAGCCTCGAACTTTGGAGGCCCACCTTTCACCCTGCTGCCCTCACTCTGGGGCACACCTTGCACGTGGAGACAAACTGGAACCAGCCTCACAGGGTGCGCAACAATTCCAAGAGGCAGACGTCCCATCTCAGCCTCAGATTCCGGCACCCTGATATCGGTCCCTGGAGGATGAAGGGGTCCACACCCCTTCCCCAGGCCCGACAGGCGGGCTACACCTCTCCCGCCAGGGAGTGGGGAGGGGCATGACACCCGCGGCCTAGGCTCACAGTCGGGGGCGCGGCGCGCCACTCCCTCAGCCTAATCGTCGCATGACTGTAACGGGACAGAATGAGGCTTGCAATTACAGCCGCGAAGGGGCTAGGGAACTGGGGGGTTACGGGTCCTCTGCAGAAAGGGAGAGATAACAAGCACATCACTGCAGTCACTGGATTTAGTGAGACCTCAGCCCCTTCCAGCTTTGGAGCCAATAAACCCCTTTCTACTGAAGCCCATTTGAATTTTCACATTCATTTGGAACCAGTAAGTGGAAATTGCCCGACCCAGCTCCGGCCCAACGCAGGACACGCCCCTCCACTCGAGAATCAACCCCGCCCGGCCCGTGGGCCGGCAGACGCTGCTCCGTCCGCTCCCCGAGGTCACGCCGCTGTCGCGCAGGGGAAGGCACCGACGCTCGGAGACCTCTGGCGCGCTCTCCCCCCATCCTGAATACGGCCCCTGAATCCTGTCTCCTCCCCACGGGCCCGCTCCCTGGAAATTCGTTACCTGAGCTTGCAGCCATTCCGGCCCAGGACCGCCGGCCCACGTGACCGCCCACCCCCGCCCCGCTCTCGCCTCACGCACGCGCACTAACTACCACTGCCCGCCGCGCTTCCGCTTTCCTCCTCGCACCGCTCCTCCTCTGGGGCGGTCCGCGCCTCTTCACCACGCCCCTATTTAAAGGGCCAGAGATACACTGTCTTCCCCCCACGGAAAAAAAAGGATGATTCACATCTTGAGGACCAAGAGAATGGAAACGTCCAAGGAGCAGCGCAGACGAATAAACAGCAGCCCTTGCGGTGAGAGAAGAAAGCTCCTTCTTTAAGAAAGTGAACTTACTTGCAGCCAGCCCAGAAAGGGAGTTGATTCTCTGCCTTTTGGAGTTTGCAACCAGTAATTTTTTTTAACTTTAAAAAAAAAAGATGAACACAGAATTGCCAATTTATTTTGTCAGATAAGGACAATAGGCACACATACTAAAAAACCAACTATTATATATCGTCAGTATTGCTCCCCAAAATACATCTTAACACCAAAAATACAGGAGAAACATCGTCTCAAATAAAGAAGACATCTTAAAAATGAATAAAAACGTATGCTTATTTCTCTTGTTGCTCCTGAAGAAAGGTGAAAGCTTGCAGAACAGACTGGCTTCTAGAGTCATCACTGTAGGTAACATTACCCTGGGACACAGATCTTATGCTTGCTGGGGGCTATGGTCAAGAAAATTGGAGGAGGAACACGAGAAGATACTCTTGGAAGGAGACACAGAAAATGTTCAGTTGGGCAGACATTTATTTAGCATCAACCAGGTTCACTAGACCTCTGGGCCTTCGGAGGATCCAAAGATGGGTAAGATACCACCCTGCCCTTCAGGTACTCATTGTCTAAGAATTCAGTGTACAGACATAACAAAATACAAGGCAGGCTGTTTTAAGTAATATAAAGACATCAAACCACCATTTTTGGATCACACACAAGGGGAAAGTTTGAAACACTCCGGAAGGGATGTGGTACCTTGTCAGGGCCTTGGAGGATTTCAGTGGCAGAGAGCAGGGAGAAAGCCCAGCTGAGGGAGCAGTGGCATCAAAGGAAGCACAAGGCAAGTTTGGAAGCTAGTTCCTGACCTGATGTAGCCATGGTGAGGGCGGGGACCTCCAGCCTTCCAGTCATCCACCGGGCACAGTGGCGCACGCCTGTAATCCCAACACTTTGGGAGGCCGAAGCAGGTGGATCACCTGAGGTCAGGAGTTTGAGGCCAGCCTGGCCAACATGGCAAAACCCCATCTCTATTAAAAATACAAAACTTAGCATAGTGGCATGCGCCTGTAGTCCCAGCTACTCGAGGGGCTGAGGCAGGAGGATCACTTGAACCCTGGAGGAGGAGGTTGTAGTGAACCAAGATAGTGCCATTGCACTCCAGCCTGGGCAAAAGAGCGAGACTGTCTCAAAAAGAAACACATTTCAGCCATGGCCTAATATAAATATATACACAGTATTATATATATGTATGAGTGCGCATTTTAGATAGGTAGATAGATAAATAGAGATAGCTACCGAGACAGTAATTGCCTTTATCGTGTACAATGCAACTTGGTCTTTTCCATCCTATCCAACTCTCTTTTTTTAGCTGCTGCTTCCTGAATTCCTATCAGTACTCAGTGACAGAGCAGCCCGTAGTTCGAAGACACTGCCGTCGTGTGTATTAGAGCTATGGTGGGCTCTGAGGCTGGAAAGGCTGGGAGCAGATCCAGGAGGACGCTGCATGCTAAGCTGGGGCATTCCGCTCTTCTGTAAGAGCCTCCGGGGGAACCTGAGCAGAGGCGTGGCAACATGATAGCTATGCGTTAGAAGGCTGGAAACTGGCCTTTGGTTCTGAATATCACATTTTTCTAGAAAAACTATCAAACTGGAGACTGTCTAAAGAAGGGTACGCAAGCTGGTGAGAGCGGAAAGCCTGTGATACAGAACTGTTGAAAGTATCCAGGAAAAAAGAAATTGGCAGAAGTAGGGGAGAGCAGGGTCATAGGGGCAAGCAGCGGAAAGGTAGCTATCAGGTTAGTACAAAAGTAATTGCGGTTTTTGCCATTACTTTTAAAAACTGACCCTTTTGAAATATCTCTACAATACTCATACGCTTATTCTAGATAGCTGTAGAAAGAAAGAAAGCCTAGGACCTGTGTATGGACATTGCAGAGAAGCAGATTTCAACGCATAATAAAGAATATTTTAGGTTGGTCCAGACTGCCTCTGAGACCTCTCCAAAGTAACAGCCCTTTTATGGACCTCTGTTCACACCGGGAAATAATGTCAAATGCCATCCTTTCCAGGCCGACTTGCTATAACAACAACAAAAAAATGTGTGCTTATTCTAGAAAATGTGGAAAATTCAGGAAATATTTAAAAATAAAGCAGAAATTACCCACATTCAGAAAAAGGCACTCATTATTTTGGCTTCTTTCTATTGGATCTTTTTTTTTTTTTTGCATATTTACATTTTTGACATAATAGAACTGCATAGAATGTTTAGTTATGTATTCTATATATTTACAGGATATATAGTTCATAGTCCATTCTGTTTTTTTCACTGTTATATCTTGAGCACTATCCACCATCATTAAAATTGTTCACAAATATTATTTGTAATGGGTACATAATTATTAATCGTATAATCTATTTTATTATTCTACTCCATTTGGACATTTAGGTGAGTTCCTATTTTTTACTGCTAATGAGACATTGCCATGAATATCCTTATATATAAATTTTTGCCCACATTTTAAAATTATTTCTTTCCTTAGGCTAGAAACCTACATGTGAAATTATTGATTCAAAGGCTTTGAAAGCTCTTTAGTCTGTGAATAGCCATGTTCAAATTGCCTTCCAGAAATGTCAGGCCAGTTTGCATTCTCACCAGAAGCGCTCAAGGGGGTCCATGGCACGTGCCCACACTGGCATTTATTTTATCTTTAAAAAGAAGATTTACCAATGTGATAGATGAAGTGGTCTCTCATTTTAATTTGTATGGGATTACTAGTGGAGTGGAATATCTATATAAATGTATCAACTCTTTAGAGTTATTCTGGGAATGCAGTTTCACTGCTAGATTTGTGACTGGCAAATAGTGCTGAGTGAATTGTTACATACTTGTGAAGGAAAAAAGCAGAGGATTTTTTAAATGAATTATGTGGTCACACCAATTTACAGGCAAATTATATTGTGATGTGCTGTCCTAACAAGGTTAGTGGGAGAGTTGACAGCACGTAGTATTACAATATTCATGTTGTGAATATTGGCTTCAGCAAAATATCATTCCTTATATTAAGTCAAAATGTTAGATTTTAATTTCCTCATTTGGTAGTTTTGTTTGTATTTAATTATGTTTTTAGTTTTATAGATGGATAAAATCTATAAAACTCAGGAGTCCTTAGTTTTGTATTTGCTTATATACATACATACACAGACATATGTATGCAATGTTATTTTTAAAAACATATAAGCTAGATATCTGTGAGATATCTGTGAGAGTTATATAAACATATAACTCTAGATATCTGTGAGAATCTTTTCCCCTTACAAAGGATCTGAACAATATCTGAGTTTGAAAAACATTGATACTGGAATTTCTTAAAGTTTCATTTGTACTTTATCTAAACACGGGTACTGGGATTTTTTTTTAAAGGTAAAATTTGTGTCAGCTTATATATTAGAACTTTTCCATAGAGAATAGTATTATGATTTTCTTCTTTTTGGAAAGAGTACCAAAAGCTATACCATGTTTGGGGTTCAGAGAGTATGTTTTGACTTCAAATGCACCATTCATCAAAGTGAACTTTCTACAGGTCTGTAAGACCTAGACGGAAGAATGTTTGCATTTACTAAACTTGTAAGTAAGACGAGGCAGTTGAGCATATAATGATTACAATGGAGCTTTTGTGAAGTTGTCTTAGAGAAATGAAGCCAGCGAGAAAAAGTTGCCTGTGAGCCTTGGGAAGCCGTGCGGGCTGGCCTGCGAGGGGCACAGGAGCCAGAAGGGGGCGCCACTGAGGACTGCTGCAGTTGGATGGTGTCCTTACACCCAGCTCTGTCCCCCCAGCTGTCACCAAGACAGAAGGATGCAGACCCCCACCCAGACATCACTGTTACCCCGCATGTAGAATAAGCCCCATCTCTCCTGAGGGAAAAAAAAAATGTCTGTACCAGAGAGCAAAAGCCAGAGAACAGGCCAGGCGCGGTGGCTCACACCTGTAATCCCAGCACTTTGTGAGGCCGAGGTGGGCGGATCACAAGGTCAGGAGATTGAGACCATCCCGGCTAACATGATGAAACCCCGTCTCTACTAAAAATACAAAAAAATTAGCCGGGCATGGTGGCGGGCACCTGTAGGCCCAGCTACTCAGGAGACCGAGGCAGGAGAATCGCTTGAACCTGGGAGGTGGAGGTTGCAGTGAGCCGAGATCATGCCACTGCACTCCAGCCCGGGCGACAGAGCGGGACTCCAACTGAAAAAAACAAAACAAACAAACTAAGGCAGAGAATAGGAGATTGGACCCTTTGTCTTTTTTTCCCCTCACAATTGCAAAATAAACTGGCTTTTTTTCCTTTTTTAAAAAGGGACTTTGTTGGAGCACAGTGAATTTTTAGCGCAGTGAATCAACTCTGTATGATGCTTTAATGGTAGAAATGTCATACATTTGTCCAAAGCCACAAAATGCACAACACGGAGAATGAACCCAAAGGTACACTATAGATGTGGATGATAATGCTGTAATGATGTGTCACGCAGGGCCCTCAGATGTAACAAATGTGGCACTCTGGTGAGGGAGGCCATGTGCACCTGGGGCAGGCAGTGCATAGAAGTCTCTGTACCTTCCTCTCAATTTTGCTGTGAACCTAAAATTAAAGAATCAAGCTTATTAAAATAATTTGGCCAGGTGAGGTAGCTCACACCTGTAATCCCAGCACTTGGAGGCCGAGGCGGGCAGATCACCTGAGGTCAGGAGTTCAAGGTCATCCTGGCCAACATGGCGAAACCCTGTCTACTAAAAATAAGCCAGACA